TATTGTATATGAAGAAAGCCACTACATTATTGGCTTCACCACCACATTAGAGTCGTCTGACTAAAAGTCATTCAGTAGCTATTTTCTCTTTCCTTGCTCATTGTAAAACAAACAACTGGTCTGTCCTTCTCGGTCTTGGTACGAGCCATGGCCACAGGCTTTGCACTTGAGAGTTTCCTTGTCATAAAACGTTCCAACGGGGCAGGCAACTGTGAAACGGAAACAGAATGGTATGGGACAATGTTCATTTTGTAGTCAGAACCTTTAAATAAGGTATAGTAAAAGACTCTTTGTCCTCGTTTGCTACTGCGATAATAATGTATAAATACAAGTTTGAGCCCTTTAAATTTCTGTTTAAAAGTTTTGTTACAAATGGGTTTTTATTTTCGCTCAGGTACAGACAGCTGTGGCCTATGTGCACAATCTGATTGGCTTGTCGGGGCTGATTTCCACGCCGGAAAAAACAATTTAAATCATCATCCTTAAAGAAGCTTTGGGTTATTTTGGCCATTTGCAAAATTACCTGTAAGGTGAAGGAAACCTATCTCACTAAGATAGAAAAAAACAAAGAGATAAAGAAACAAGGATGGTCAAGAGGATTAACACGGATTACAAATGACAAACATCGAAAAATTTAAGCTAAACTTTTCAAAATGTGAAACCGTGACGTAGCTCCTTTGATATAACGTTTATTTTCTTCTAATAAAAAAGTACAGTCCCGAAATATAGTAACTCTTCCCCTCAAAATTTATGTCATCAATTCTCCGATATAACGTTAATTTCCTTCTAATCAACATTTTCTGAAACGTTAATTTCTTTCTAATCAAAAAGTACAGACCCGAAATATAGTAACTCTTCTCCCCCCAAATTTATGTCATTAATTTTCCGTCGGGTCACACTGAAACTTATTTCTAGGACTCATGTAAGGCAGCTACGATGCTCTAGAAATGGAGCACATCAGCAACTAAATTTCTGAGCTACGCCCCATCTCTTAAACTCACCGCAACCCGCTCTCTTGATGTTTACAACAGAACCAGGTGGGCATTTAAACTGCGTGGAAAGGTGTTTGAGTGACGATCTTTTGGCTGTCATGTAAATTCCATCGACACGGATCGTAAACTTCCCTGTGGATACGATATACTGCAGCTGGAATAAGACAGCCTCGCTTGTGTCGTCTATGGTCACCTTCAAAGTCGAATGGCTGCTTTTGATTGATACCAAAAACAGAATCTCTAAAGCATCATTTTCACTGCGACACTTAGACGCTTTGGCGACACGAGTTTTACATTCATCAGCAAAAGAGCATCCTGGAACACTTCTGAGCGATGTCCAAACTTGGCGCTGAACTAAGACCGGTAGTTGCTGCAAGTTTTGATTCCTCTGGCACGAGATATCGGTAAAATTCAGGGAGAATTTATGTTTGATTTCGCTTGGTAAGACGTCGCCTGTAAAATGAACAGGAAATTCCGACTTGCTTTTTTCTGGTATTTCTGGTATATTTTTCCTAGCTATGATATATGCATACGCATGACACAAGACATGGGAGATAGAAACAAAGATTAAGGTCCATAATAAAGTCAGTATTATATTATATGACTATATTATATGACTGCTTAGAGAGAGAGACGTATTCTATGTCGGTCGACTCCTGTCGGACGGTGTAGCCATATTAAACGAAAGTCGTTGTTAAATAAATTTCCTTTAGCATTATTTCATGTGAACGTTTAGGTTATATTAATAGCTTTGAATCAAGATATCCATCAAATGATATGACTACGATGAAAAACGGCACAAGACGTTAATAAATAAACAAATAAATAAACAAATAAATAAATAAATAAATAAATAAATAATACATCTCACTTACTTGAACACCTGGATAGTTTTACTTTACTTTTCCTATTCCATCTCCACTTAGTATCAGGGCCACATTCAAACGTGGTTTCTGCATTTACGTCGAATGAATGACCCTTAGGGCATTTCAGTGTGCAAACAGCTCTCCCAGCGGACTTTGAGCAATCTTTGTATCCCTTGAAAGGTGTTCCCAGTTTTGGGCAGGCTGAAAAATCATGTACAGATCTACTTAATATTAAAATTAATCTGGAAACGCCTGTTTAACGTTCCAAACGCACTTCTGGGGGTAACTGCAGAATACGTAACCCTTACTGAGTGAATAGGGAGTTTTAGCAAACCACGACGTCGGCGACGGCGACGAGAACGACATTAAACAAAAGGTTTAATA